TCCCTTTGGTCTCTGAACTCCTGAACCCACCTAACCATCAGGTGATCGTCCGCTTTGTATCTGATCGACAAAAAACAAGTTTATTAAAACATTATTCACTTCTTATACACAGACTATATGAGAGTTTGTAGTCGTATTGTATTACATTCACTACCTTTCATAACAAAAAAGTTTTCCATAAAAGCAAAGTTTTTTGTCCAAAAAATGTTTTCTACATTAAATGTAACCAAAAAATGTTTGCCCTTTTCTTATTGCTATTATACGGCAAAATGACTTTTTCCCACTATTTGTGAGCCAAAATCAAGTTGGTATGAATTGCAAACACAATAAGTCTCACGATTTGAATCTTGAATATACTTTTCACACAATGAGTGAAGTCGTCGCACAGAATACATAATCACTTGTGTTGTGTTGAATGAATGCCAACCTATGGCTGTAGTGATAATGAATACATATAACAAATATTTTCATTACCTTTTATTACCTTTTTTTGGTTTTTATTCAGATTTTGCAATAGGACTCCTCGTAAACCAATCAGACATTTAGCCAAAAGTCATATAAATACTTGCGATATGAATGAAAGTGTAAAATATTTGCCTAACATTTTTCGCAGTGAAAGTCATGAATATCGATGACTACATACAGACTTAATCCATGGCTAAGTGTTAGTCAATATTTAGGCAAATATTTGTCAATATTTGAGTTGGCATTTAGTCGCTAAATGTGCAATAGCTTGATGACCTAAACAGCACAGGTATACCACAAATAAAAGTCAAAAATATTTATTTTTGGCGAGAATACCATTCACACGATCTTATCATCAAATGGCTTCAAATAAATTTTTTGTAGAAAATCCATTAAATGGCAATCCATTAAAATACTTCTCACCTCATAATACAGATAATGTAATACATTCTCAAATTATATTAATTTATTAAAATTTTTTATTATACTTTTGTTAAAATCTTTTTTGTTGTTATTTTTGTGTTTCCATGAGATATTACGTTAAATATTCATTTTCATAGGCATTATCTGATTATTCAAATTCCTACCCAATCTTAAGCAAAAATCTTTCAATTGTTTGTACGAAGCCATGCATATAAGCACTCGTTGTTATTAATTATATTTCGTAATAGGCTTATAATAACACAATCGTACAGAACTCAATTAATTTTTAAAATTTAAACTTATAAATTCACATTGAATATTTTTAAAAATTACAAAGACTTTAATATTTAGTTTTAAATATACATATAATTATTTGGGTGTGAGATTTACATATTTAAATAAGACATTAGTAACCACACTGATTTCTAAATTATAAATTCTCTCTCTATAAAAAATACACAAACCTTACCTTAAAAATTAGCACAAATATTAAAATTCAAAAACTTTCCAAAATCTTAATCAACAGTAACTCGAGTCTGGCTCATGAGGTATAGACAGGAACTCCTGCCGTCAACACCAATCGACTGTTGACTCGTATGAATGAATGATTCTGTGATTCATTAATCATTAATTAAATTTTATTTATTAATCGAAACAATAATTAATTACAGAATTTTCAATGAATGAGTGAATGAAAAGCATGAATGGGTGAGCCATTCACATACAGTACCTATACAACAGAATTCGTTAATATTAGCTATAAATTAGATTTAAAATTTCAATTAATAATTTCATAATAGACATCTCTAATCGTCATTTTTACACATTAGTGTTTGTGATCATAGTTTTTAAGTGAAAATCACAGATCAAGTCAATAGAAAAAATCATAAAATAATTACATCATATAATATAATTAGAAAATAATCGTATGTATAATATAATTACAGTTAAATTAGAAAATTTAAAAATCCAAAACAAAAACAAATTTCAACAACAAATCGTATTTCATATGACAAATCAAATGACGGGAAAAGTATCTCATTTTAAAGACAAACACGACTCAAAACACTTAAATATATTCACTGTTTTTTGTGACACAAAACTTGAGCTGAAAATTGAGACAAAACTGTTGATCAGAATTTCATTTGGCATTAATTTTCGTCAAAATTAAAAAACACTTTCAAAAACAATTTGTAACATAAAATATAAATTACAAACAAAAAATGCATGTCTTTTGTGACCTCACACTTGAGAACCTTTAGTGAAAATACAATTTAAACAAATGCTTTGTAACCAAAATTAAACAAAATAAAAATTTACAATAAAATTATAATAAAAATCTCAGTTTGCGCTGAAAAATCAGACAATGATTTCGCGTTTGCTTTTATCGCATACAATATATGATATCAAAAATTAATTATCAATTTTATGTTTAATATAATCAATCAGTTAATTGAGGCCTAAAATCACAAAATATAAAGCTCTCCCATAGATATACACAATATATTTTATACCAAACAAATAGTCAATTAATTAGTCAATCGACACAACCATCGATCCATACATTCAATCAAATATATTTTAACTAATCTTAAAAAATATATTTACGTTCAAAAAATTGTAACCAAATATTTATCATATAATTTCGTACAACAAATAAAAATATTTACTTTTAAATGAGACAAACACTCGCCTATGGAAACCAAATTAAAAATCATTAAAATAATCAATTTCTCTCTTATAATGAGTATTTAAACATAAACCTAATTGTGTGTTAAATACGACAGTATTTATATATCAATATCATGAATGCATTGACTAAAAGGCATAACATTTTTAATACAATAAAGGTTTTCAGACGACTAAACCATTTGAATACCACTTTTCATATGGAATATTGAATTCAAAATCTATAATTGGATTTGATTTAGTCGTCAGTCAATAGTAATATAATAAATAAAAATCAATAGATTTCTTGCACTCGTTTCACAAAATATCATAAATAGTGTATAATTTATATATTGAATGTGTATTTATACGTATGTGTGAGACGTGTGGTGTGGTGTGCATGTGAGTGGGAACTGGAGATCGCGGTGTCATATGCGGGGCTGACATTCAAGTCGGACAAATCACTTTCAGTATGTAATCAGTTAGTAGAGTGGGTACTGTAGGGCTGTCCTCATTGATCGCACGCAATACTATACAGTAATGCAAATCAATACAAAATGAGACAAAAAATAATGACAAAAGTGTCAAAAACAACGAAATAATTGATTAGTTTCACAAAAATCAATCACAGTATCAATGGAAAACTTACTTTTAATGAGTATCTGCAGAGTGGGCACACCGGGCGTACCCCTCCCCGTGTTATAGGGTATAACAGTCGTGAGATACTTGGGCTCCAGCGTACGGCCCCTTTTGCGCTCAATATGGTGCTGTCGGCGCTTATTCTGGACGCTAAGCAACAGCGATATAAACGTGTTCTTCAGCTCCTTCTCGAACTCGAGCTCATCCCTGAGCGCCAACTCGTGGATCAGTGTCTCGGAGTTGTGTTGAATCATACGCTCCAACTCCAGGTACAGCTCATTCAACTGCACCGACGAGTAGGTCTTCAGCTTCTCCTCATACAGGAGCGCCGCTATCGACGTCTTGTGGCCATCGCCGGCGCCCGTACTCGAGGGCGACTTATCCGTCGAAATGCTGTCCGATGTAGTGGTGGCCCCACTCGACGAGCTGACCGACCCGTTCATCATAATCTCGTCGATCTCTTCGAGCACCTGTTCCGCCGTGAAGATGGGCTCCTGTTGTAGACTCGCGAGTATCAGCGAATGGAGGTCCAGATCTTTGGCCAACTCCTCCTCATCACAGGTGGGGTCGAAGAGTTCGTTGATATTCCTGTGTTCACCACTGCGCGACTCATTGATGTTGAGCGCCGGGAGGTGTAGCTTTCGGGCGTACGTTTTGGTCCAATCGATGGGCAAAATGTTGCCGAAATTGCCGGTCAGTGTCCACCACATCCTTAAGACACAGAGATATCGCATGAAATACCAATTCACTCGATGGTAGTGTCGGTGGAAATACATACTGAGACTCATTGATGATGTCCTCCTGAGACCTGACCTGAACGGGCGCTAAGTTTGACGTGTTTTCATCATAATTGCGGAAACATTTGGTGATCTTATCGTCGAAAGTGTTGACCAAATCCTCAAGACTGTCGGAGAAGGTGTCCGCGAAGTTGTTGTCAATGTGTGGCTGAAGAGGTTGTTGTTGTGGTGGTGGTTGTGTCTGATTGTGTCCCACGTTATTGTTGTCCAACGGTTCCGCACCAGTGTTTCCCACAGTCTTACGCTCACCACTCGTGGTGGTGGTCACCGATGTCTGTGCGTTGGAGTTCTCGATGTCTTCGTTGCACTGGAAGTCACCGAAGTCTTCGGTGATGGCGAGCGGGACGTCGACACTGCAGTTGAAGTCAGACATCACTGGCAGGTGTGGTGTCTGTC